GCAACCAGTACTTTTGCAAACCTAATGGGTTTGCTCGAGCAGGAAAGTCCACGCTCGAGCAGGGACCCCTATTTCAGAAATTTTGTAAAGATGTCCTGTGTTTCGTTTTCCATTCTCTTTCACTCTTAAGCACTCTTAGGCATGCATTGAGCATTATGAATGAATTAAAAGGATAAGAAAGAAGCCTAAGAGGAATGAATGAATTAAGAACGGATTGAATCATTTGTGACCCATATGTGTTATATAATGTGTAAGGTCGAGCTCAAGGGTGAATCCACCGGCAGATCACTGTGAATAATATCTTGATAAAGATATCTGAAGTATGTTATTTGTTCAATTTCTTACTTCTATGTAAGTCTTATAAGTTTGTTAATTTTGAATGATTGGGCCAAAGGCCAGTCTGACATGAATGAAAGAATGGTTGGGCCAAAGGCCAGTCTGACACGAATGAAAGAATGGTTGGGCCAAAGGCCAGTCTAACATGAATGAAAGAATAAATGGGCCAAAGGCCAGTCCGACATGAATGAAAGAATGGATGGGTCGAAGGCCGTTTGACATTAATGAAAGATAAATGGGCCAAAGGCCATTTGACATGAATAGATTGGGCCCGAGGCCGTCTGATGTGTTTGGAACTGCAGTTACTTGACCTATAGATATATATATATATATATAATGGATAGAAATATGAATTGGGTCCAAGGCCGTTTGGTGCATGTCGTTCTAAATGCTGTTCATGTATCTTTTTTATTTGATATTATTTGTTGGACTTTCGCTCACGCTCATTCATGTGTCTGTAGGTGAACCAAGGGAGGTTCAAACCCAGCCTCAGTGAAGTTTGTGAGAAACAGTCAAGGATTTGAAGAGTCAGCCCATACGTCTCACGCACGAGACTTGTTTTCGCCCTTTTGCCATTCTGCCACATTTTGTCATGTTGGCGAGAATTTTGGATTACGTTTGTATATAGTTTTGATTGGCTGACTTAGACTTGAATGATCCTGTATGTACAGAACTTTGTACTATTACATATTTTGATGCGAGTTATTAACATGTATATGTATGGATTGTTATGATGTGCCATGTAAGCACAGCTCTATGGACAAAAGTTTTGATTTTGCTTCCGTTTGGCCCCCTTTACTCTAATGAGCTATGTCTTGTTCGGTTTGAGGCCGTAAGTAATCTCATGATTACTGGCCGGTCATGTCCTTAACCCATAGGGGGTGGGTTCGGGTCATGACAATGGCGCATTATCTTTATGAAGTAACATGTGAAGTCTACACTGATCACAAGAGCCTCAAGTACTTCATTACTTAGAAGGAGCTTACTATGCAACAAAGACGGTGGTTAGAACTCATCAAAGATTATAAATTGCAGATTTATTACCATCCCGGTAAAGCCAACACGGTAGCTGATACTCTTAGTAGAAAGTCAATGGGAAATTAGCATGTTTACTTACGGAGCAGAATGAACTATTACTTGAGTTGGAAAGAATGGAAGTGGAAATCGTGCTACATAAACGGGGTGGAATGTTTGCCACAATGGTAGCACAACCGGTTATTATTGAATAAATCAAACATAGGCAATTGGAGGATGAATTTCTCAAGAAAATATATGATGAGATGGAAACGAAGCCAAGACCAGGATTCTCTTTGGACGACCAAGTGTTGAAGTTTAAAGGAAGATTGTGTATTCCGAATATTCCAGAAATTAAAGGAAGAGTTTTGGAAGAAGCTCACAAATCTAAATTTTCTATGCACCCTGGAAATACTAAAATGTATCGAGATCTCAACCAAGCTTTTTAGTGGCCTAACATGAAGAGAGAAATTGCATAGTTTATTTCAAGATGTCTTCAATTTCAGCAAGTGAAAGTGGAGCATCAAAGACCAGGGGGTTTACTTCAGTCTCTCCCTATTCCAGAATGAAAGTGGGAGCACATAACTATGGATTTTATTGTTGGCTTACCCCGAACACCCCGATGTATGGATTCTATATGGGTTATTATGGATAGATTGATTAAATCTGCTCATTTTTTCCCTATGAAAACTGTTTATAATGCTGATAGGCTTGCTACTATATACATTAATGAGATTATTCGATTGCATGGTGTTCCGGTTTCTATTGTGTTGAATAGAGATTCTAAGTTTGTGTCAAGATTTTGGCAGAGCTCACAGAAAGCATTGGGGATGAAATTGAGGTTCAGTATCACATTTCATCCATAAATTGATGGACAGTCTGAAAGGACTATATAGATGTTGAAGGACATGCTCTAGATGTGTGCTTTAGATTTCCATGAAAGTTAGGAAACTTATCTACCTTTGGCAGAATTTGCATATCACAACAATTTCCACTCCAGTATAGGGATGACACCATATGACACCTTGTATGGGAGAAAATGTTGAAATCCAGTTTGTTGGACCGAAGTTGGGGATAGAGCATTGATCAGGCCTGAAATTATGCAAATTATTACTAAGAAGATCAAGATCATCCAACAAAGACTGAAAACTGCTCAAAGCTGACAAAAGAGCTATGCAGATCAAAGAAGGAAAGACTTAGAATTTGAGGTTGGGGATCATGTTTTTATCAAAGTCAATCCAATGCAAAAGCAAACAAGATTTGGGAGAAAAGTGAAATTGTCACCCTGATACATACGGCTATTCCAAATTTTAGAGAGATTAAGTCTGGTTGCCTATCAAATTGCTTTACCACTGGGCATGGAGCGAGTGCATAACGTGTTACATGTGTCAATGTTGTAAGGCTACCTTCGGGATCCTTCTCATGTTATTGATTATCATCAGATTGCTCTAGATAACAATATGGTTTATAAGGAAAAACCAATTCGGATCCTTGATCGGCAAGTCAAGCAACTAAGAAACAAGACCATCCCAATGGTAAAATTTGAATGGAAGGAACATTACGGAAAAGAATCCACTTGGGAATGGGAAGAATAAATGAGGCAACGATATCCAGAATTGTTTTCGACTTGAGATAAACAAGTTTAGAGGACCAAACTTCCTAAAGGGGGGGTGACTATGATAACCCAATTTGTCTTATGCTGAATTATGCATGTGATTATGTGTTTGATATGATTTTGCAAGTTTAAGTATGTGAATTATGTGATTTTGGAATTATATCTGTTGAATGTAGGAATATCTGTTGTAATTACAACTTTGAACTGAAATTGAAAGCCTTAGAGGCACCAGAAACCAAAACCGACTTCATATCTGTGTTTAGCATGATTTTTAGAGCCTACTGTGAAATTTTGTAAAATTACGATTCGTAATTATTTCATTAAGTTTAATGAGCCTAAGTTATATATGTATCTAGCTATCTTAAATTCATCTTGGTGGAGAGCATTTGCTAAAGGAATGAAAAGAAGAAAAGCTATGGATTTGGAAAAGATTCAAGGATAAACTCCTAGATTTGAGCTAAGGTATGAAAATCTACCTAGAATCTTTGTAAATAACTCATATTTTGTTTGAAATCAAGAGGAATTTGAAGATCCAACACTGAAAAGAGTTACGGTTTTGAATTGAGAGTAAGTTCAAGAAATTGATTCTTAATCTCTTTAACTTTGCTTGAGTTGAGTTTAGTCTTGTGAATGCTTCATGAAATAAGCTCTAGATTGTTTATACAACAAAGATTTGCATAGAGATCATCCATGTTTATATGTATTTTGAGCTTGATCTTGTAATTCATGAACTTATGAAAAATATGAGACCTTGAATTTGATATTGAAACAAGATTGATGTGTTTGAGTTGAAATTACACTTGAATTGTGATAGTAAATCGTGTTTTTGAGTTAGTTTTGCATGAATTTGAGCTTGGAAATGAGTTTAGAAGATTGCATTTTTTGCCATTTTCTGATTGTTTGGTTTTTGCCCAGACCGCTCATGTAGTTGCAAGCTCCGCATGAGTGGAGCATGGATCAAAACAGGGAGAACATTTTGCTTGCTTGAGTGGTCACTATTTCTGCATGAGCGGTTGGACCTGCTGCACGGGCGGCCAGCGAAAAAAATAAATAAAAAAAATAATAATAATAAAATCTTGTTTTCTTATGTTGACCTCTTTGACCTTTTGAACACATTCTTGACCTTATCTAAACCCTCTGGAAAATGAAATGATAATTAGAAACCATTGAAAAAGGTTGTGAATCACTAAAAGAAAAGTGTACGAAATGAGCAAATTATTTATCGAATGTGTATGTGACATGTTTTGTGTAGATTGTGTGCCGGAGGAAATGCTGCTAGATCAAACGCGCTGTGAGTAATAGTACTGTAAAGATATGTTCGCAATTACTTATTTAGATCCGTGAACGGTGATCTATTCTGTTATTGTGTTTTGATCGAAATGAATGAGTTTCATGAATGTTATATGACATATGCAATGTAGACTTAAGGCCGTTCTGTTACATTATGATATGTTTGGGTTCGAGGCTATTCTATACCATGTATGGGCCCGACGCCATTCTGTTAATAATATTATAATATAAGATTGGACTTGAGGTCGTTTTGAACAACTGTTAATGATGGGCCTAAGGCTGTTCTGTACTTTATGTGGCCCTGAGGCCGTTTTGTTTATATGATGGGCCTGAGGCCATTCCGTATTATGTTAGGCCCGAGGCTATTTCCTAATGTGATTGTGAATATTGTGGGAAACTTATGCTCATTCATTTAAACACCTATTTGGTTGAGCCTCCCAGATGGAGCTTTTGCCTTTGACTCACATCATGTTATGACTTTTGTTTTGACTTTGCTATAATCGTCTTGGGATATGTAAACTATATGTATGGAATTTTCTATGGTACATAAGTTTTTGTATGGACATGTAAATGTGTGAATGTGCTGTGATGTAAGCTGTATAATTTTGCTCATATTGGTACAGCTCAATGTACTTCTTCATCTGTGATATGCTTCCGCTTATGGCCCCATTATTATAATTATTTTGTATGTTTGTATGAGGCCGTAGGTAATCAAGTGATTACTAGTTGGTTATGGTTTAAACCTCTAAGGGCGAGTTCCAGTCATGACACCGCCACCGCCACCGCAGTGCACTGTCACCACCATCGCTACCATTACCACTACTACTGCCACTACAGCTATTACCACTACTACAACCACTACTGCTACCACCGTCGTCGCCGCTACCGCCACCATTATAGCCACCACTGCTACCACCACTACCAGCACAACCATAACCACTATCATCATGCCACCGCAGTCATGACACCGCCACCGCCACCGCCACCGCAGTGCACTGCCACCACCATCGCTACCATTACCACTACTACTGCCACTACAGCTATTACCACTACTACAACCACTACTGCTACCACCGTCGTCGCCGCTACCGCCACCATTATAGCCACCACTGCTACCACCACTACCAGCACAACCATAACCACTATCATCATGCCACCGCATACCGCAACACCACTACCGCCATCATCATGCCACCACCACCATTATTACCATAACCTTCATCACAATTGTTATTGTTGTCATAAGTATTACTATCATTTTATTACCACCACTATCGCTACCGTTATCGCTACCACCACCACCATGTCGTCATCGCCGTTGCCACCGCCCCCGCCGCCTCCGCCTCCGCCTCCGCCTCCGCCGCCATTATACCGTCACCACCACTACCATCACAATCACAATATAAAAATTAAAATATACAATTTGAAAATAATAAATTTCACGTCACCACCACTACCATCACAATCACAATATAAAAATTAAAATATACAATTTGAAAATAATAAATTTCAAATTTGATCTTATATATATCAAAAAAATTATTTTTAGTTTAGCACTTAAATTTTTGTCAAACAGTTTTTCATCCTAAAAAATTCAGTATTCAATTTTCAATACTTAATTTCAATTTTTAGTTTTCAATTTTCAATTTTATCAAACAACACTCTTAATAATCTACCTTGTTTGTTTACCAAAAAAAAAAAAAAAACAATCTACTTTGTTTCTTTTTTTAATCAATAATAAAAGTAAAGCCACACTATGTGTGCCAAATTAATAAAAATTTTAAAAAAATAAAAGTAGTTATAAGAAAATTTTGTTAATTACTTTTGTGATGTATGTTACTGTGAAATCCTATATTTTTGGGATATTAATATTTTAATAGGAGGTATTAATGTTTTAGATTATATTAGATATTAGTTTGGTGGTGATATTTTTAGATGATGACCTAACGTACTTTTTATTTTTTTTCTTTTTTGGTTTTAATCTTTACCTCATTATTGTTTATCTCTTTTTGAAAAACAATTTTTTTTTCCTCAATACTCATTTTTCTTCCTCACCAAGGAAAACAAAAAAGTTGACGGATCGAAAGTTAGTGTGTTACATAATGGTATTAGAGCATAAGGATTAGGTTTTATATGGGGTCTCTTGTAACACCGCAAATAATACCTATTTTTGAAATACTTAAAGTTAAATTAGTTATCCTATAATGAGTGTATGTGCTAAAATGTAATTACAACATTTTGTTAGGCGATAGTGGAATTTAGAGAAATCGTTTTCAAAGTTTCTAGAGAAACCTCATGCATGGCATGGCAAGTGCATAGTGCTGCATAGTGTTTCATAATAAGGGTCTTGTCGTCTATAAATAGGTGAGTTGCATGGTAATGAAATCACAAAAATAACAAACGAGAGGTATATGAGAGATTGAGCTAAAGTTAGAAGTGAGAGTAAAGGATCACATTTGAGGTGAGTTTTATTATATTTTGAGCTACCATAAACTCTTTTATGAAAATTATGGTTTGGAAATCATATTAGTTTTGAAACATCTATTATTTGTAAAATGAACCCTGTTTGCTTAAAAAGGAAACCCATGGATATAACTGTTTATTAAATGTGTTTTGCACAATTATTTTGTAAGTATCACCACAGAGGTCCCATGCATTGGGAGACTTAAATAACCATTGGCCCTCTGAATTGTCACTTTAAATGACCCTCTGTCGTCATAGATCTACTGACCCTCTGATTTCTGGTGCGGAGCAAAGTGCTCTATGGGCCTAAGTGTTACACTATTATGGGAGCCACCTCTAGAATCCGTATGAGCCACTTCTTGAGTCTATACACCTGTTTTATTATGTTCTTTGGTATGAAGCAAAGTGTTGTACGGGCCTAAGTGCTACACTATTGTGAGAGCCACCTCTAGAATTTGTACAAGTCACCTCTTGAGTCCATACATCTATTCTACACCGTGGTTATGATTATTTTCTTCTATGATTTCTATATTATATGTCTGTTATTCAAAATGATTTTCGTATTATATACTCTATATTTTACTATCAAGCAAATCTTTGTTTAGCCTAAATAAGTATCCATGGTGCTTTTTATACCCTTATGCTCTCAGTATAATATTTCTCACTCTGTCATGTGCTTGTAGTTGTTACCATGTTTAGGTGACATGTCAGGACCAATGCGTGGGGTAGGAGGCACAAGGTACTTTGTAATCATAGTTCAATTCTGGTAATGTAAAATGAATAGAGGCTCTAATGTATATATTTTTGTTATAATTAAATTAAGATTTGGATACTCTGTTATTTTATTTCGATGCACTATTAATTTGTTATGATTTCAATTATTGTCTTATTGCGATGCTGAACCTTCGGGTACTGGGTTTGGTTCGTGACATCTGTTGAGTGGTTGGTATTAGAGGTAAAAAAAAAAAAAGTTGATATATGAGGTAAAAAAAATTAAAAAATAAATAAATAATTGGTGGGTATTTGAGCTGGAAAAAAAATCGTTGTTTATATCGAAGTGCGCAGTGGAACCGTGTTATTTAAGGAGTTACTCATTATTAAATTTTGGAGTATTAGAGATTAAGAATTTTGATAATGAAATTTGTTTAAGGGGGATAGATTGGAAATCCCGCATTTTTGAGGTATTAATATTTTAATGAGACGTATCTATTTTATTTTATATAGTAGTTTGGTTGTGAGATTTTTAGATCAAAACCTAACCTATTTTCTTATATTTATTTTATCATTTTCGATCTCTATCTCATTATTGTTCATCTCTTTTTGAAAAACATTTTTTTTTCTCATTGACCATTTTTCTTCCTCACCAAGAAAAAAGAAGAAAAAAAAGTTAATGGCCCAAAAGTTGGGGAATTACAGTTACACATTTTTATTTTAAATGTTATGTAATTTTCTAGTAGAATTATGACAATTTATGATTTAAAAAATGAGATTACACATTTTTGTATGCGTAATATTACCATAAAAATCTATAACATTATCAAAATAATGTATAATTTTATTTTTAAATTACAAATTATCGTAACTCTATCCGAAGATTTCATGACATTTATTACAAAAATATAGAACATCCACAACAAAAATTATAGCGATCATGATTTGACTCGACCTATTTATTTCTTTTGAATGCGTGAAACCATATCCGTAGCGGTTGTTCTTCTTCCTATTATGTTTGGTTTTGGCTTCAGGGGTCGACACCAGTCTTGGTGGTGTAGACATTGCCTTCCATTTCTTGTTTCGTTCAACTTCTGGGGTTGACCCTTGTCTGTTGCTTTGTGTTTGGTATTGCTACTGGTTTTTGGAGTCGACACCCTGAGTTCCTAGGGTCGACTCTTCCCTTATTGTTTTGTTCTGGGTCGACTACTAAAATATAGGATCGACACCACGGGTTCCTAGGATCGACCCTTGTCTGCTGCAAACATAAGTGTCTTAGCATTTCTTCTTGAGGGTCAACATCGCTGCCTTGAGGGGATCGACCACTATGAGTTTGTCTCAAATTTTTGGACTCGTTTTGGGCCTTACCTTTTGGGGGTTTTTGACTTATTCTTTTCATTGACTTTTGGGATATTATTCTACTACTATAAATAGACCCAAACACTCTTTTCTTTTCATTCTTTTCTCTTTCTCTCAGTCTCTCTCTTTCTTCCATTAAACTGTGAAATCTCTCCCTCTATTTGAAAATCAACTTTTCTCTCATAGATCTCCAGATCTAATAAGTTGGAGACATATTTACACCTAGATCATTTGAGAAAGGTTGTAGATCGTGTCAAGAGCTTCCTTTTTATCCAAAAGGTTCATGATTTCGTCAAGGTTGAGTTTTTTCGAGTTCTCCTCTTCCACTTTTACACTTGAGGTAGGGATTTCTAGACTGTGGTGATATGGTTTGGAAATACTCTTTGGATCCTATGGGACGCTTGTGATCCTCAGCTAGTCACCTGAAAAGGAATGAACACTCCGGTCGGGGGTGCCGGAATTAGCACTCCGACGGACAAGTCAGTATATACTCTCTTTGTTGCTTGTGTTTTAAGTTAAGCACACTAGTTCTCACATACCTCTCTTTAGTTGTTCCTCTTTTATTTATATACGCCTCGGGCCCTCAGGATAGGGCCCACTATTAATCCGTCGTGTGATTGTTCACTCGGCTTCTTCCGTCATAAATCACTTCACATTCTGCTCCCCGCTCAACTGGTTCTGCGGCCAATTAGGAGATTCGGCTTTTGAATGATGCGAGATGGGGCCAAATAGGGATGTTCATATAATAAGCTTCCAAGTATATACTCGGCCCCCTCTGTAGTCATCGAAACTCGGCTCCCACAATTGCCCCCCCCAAACACCGCACTAACAATAGTTTAGTTGGCTTGTTTGGTTTCAGATTTGAAAGGTCAAAAATATAAATTCGGTGGCTACCCTCATTCCAACGTAAATGTCAGAACGCACACGCTTTTCGGTCGTTATTATACTTTCCCGCCCCCTCGTGCATTTCCCTCCCCCTCGTGCATTTCTCTCATTTATTGTTATTTGAAACTTTATTGTCTCTTTGAATGCATTTTTTGAATACTCGAAGCTCCTGGACAGCGAGTCGATATACATCCTCCATTTCGCATCCTCTGCAAGTTCTTTCCGTCAGTTGTTGTCTTCTTTACTTCTTGCAAGTTCTCTTCTCCTTCTTTTCAAATCCCATTTCCTTGCTTATTTTTAGTGTAGCACTCTTCTTAGACTTGCTAGTATGGCCAAACATTTGAAAGACCTACTTTTTGCGGATCGTGTTTCTGGGTTTCAACGCCATTTTTCCATCCCTGACGATGTCCATCTGTCACTCATAACAGAAAGCACTCTTGATATGGAGAGGGATGATGAAAGTACAATCATCTTTCCTCTCCTATCTATCGCTGAGGGCGGAGTCCATTTTCCCCTTCACCAATTTCTTAGGGTTGTCCTTCGCCATTGGGGTCTGATTCCTTCGCAACCCAACGTAAACTTTTTCTGTATCATAATGGGGATTATAAAGTTGAACCGGTGTCTTAGGATCAACCTTGGCATACCTGCCATTCGGCATTGTTATGTTTTGGCCAAATCTTATGGACGACTAGGGCGCTATTTTCTCAGGGCCAAGGACACTGACCATCAATTGATAACTATGCT